GCCTGGACAGCAGTTTCAGTCCACCCAGCGGTGCCTAAACCGTAAAATTAGAGGCTCAGAGGAAAACACAATATCCCGACCTATCCGTGGTTCGAGTCCCTCTGAGGGTACTAGAAAAGCGACAAGACGAGGTAGAGGCCGCAGATTAGTTTTGCGATAAAAAGGATATTTTGCAAAGCAGGAAAAAGTGAGCTCTAATGCGTAAATGAAGCATCCTCCTCAATGCATCGTAAGCAGACTTGGTATGAGATCAGCAAGAAATCGACTGTAACTGATTTGCCCCGACAAAGCGACAAACCTGCCTGTTTGTGTGGCAGCTTGAAGATGCTTCCTACAAAAACGCCAAAATCCTCTTTTTGCTGCAATAAATGCTTAACAATGTGCCCTAACAGGGCAGGTTTGGAAGTAGAATATCTTCGAGTGCATCATATGCAGCCGATCTGAGAGGAAAAGGGCACGAAGAACGAAGAAATGGAACATCAAATTGTCGAAAAAAAAGCAAACTCTTGCCGTCTTTCACATTTTGATAGGACGACGGAAGTGATCAGACTTACCTCCTTGGCGCCCGCGATGATAACATCAATCCATTCATCAGGAACGTTGGGCGAATCGGCCAGATTGGAGAGCAGGAACTCCAATTGGACGCTGTTCAGCGCCGTAAGAGATAGACAAGTCTGGTAGAGGTCGTCGAGGGAGGAGCGATCCGCCATAATAAGATGGCATGCCTGGCAGAACGAGAGAGAGAGAAGAGTGAGTTGGCCATGGGAAGATGGGAAAAAGAGGAAAAAATAAGAAAAAGTGAAATTATCGCATAAACTAAGCTGGCGATTTGGTTTGGGTGATTGAAGCTCTAGAAGTAAAATGTTCTCACAATAAAATAAGTGGGCCTCTCGATTTCAAATGATTCAGGCTCAAGCTTGGATTGTTACGGACGACCAACTTTTATTCGCCAATTTATTCGACCGTATTACTGTCAACCGAATGAGTATGTTTCAGCACTGATAGTTGAATATTCCCAAAATGAAATGAGGTCTCACGATGCCGGTGAATATAACTGAACCTCGCCTAATTTGCATCAGTAGTCGATTTAAGCGACCTAGGCCGCTCTTATTCAAGAAGTACTGATAGTCCCGAAAACTACTTATATCGAAAATAAGGGACGAGGGAGGCAAAATGTAGATAATAAGTGGCTGAAGAAATTATCATAAGAGCAGTTGCAGGGTCGTATAACGGCCAACGTTTTCTGGAATATTCAGACTTTGAGGTTGATTGTAAGCCTAAAAATTTGATTAAAAAGTTACAAAATGATCATAATTTTGAGTAGAAGGAAGAAGTCGATGAGTGTGAATAGGAAGATAGAGCTAGAGGTCCAGATTGGAATCCGGTTGGGATCTTGGTATTTCGGGTGACTCTTGAGCATCGTCTGTAGAGAAAAAACGTGAAGATGCATTAAAATAACAAAACTAGACAAAAAGTGATTGGGACAAAGATTCAGATGCTCGGCAAGCTCGGCATGCACTCTAAGAATCTGCAAATCTGTGGAGAATCTGGGAATTGGTCACTAGATCATCGGATGCTATACTCTTGGCTTCAGATTTAGTCAAGTTTACTCAAGCAGGCTTATTCGCTCCGATATTCTGACAGAGAATTATTCGAAACAATCCTAATTTGCATGTGATAAAGAACTGGTTGTCCAATTTTCCTACAATCAAATAAGTAGGCCTAATGTTTTCCTTAGATTCTACACCGACTTGCCTACCAAAAAGTACTTTCCTCCCGACTCGACTGAAGTAAAGGGCAGTTTTGATCACATCTGGATATCATCAGCGCCCTCAGGGAAATTCGAACCCGGGTCGTGGTAGTGCAATCACAGAAGCGGAGTCAATTGTACGGCTAGTCTCATAGTGGGACTGTTGGTATTAAAACCGAGTCTTTTACCTCTTAAGATGACATTGTTTGAGAGATTTTCATTTCGTATGAAAGTGGATGATGAAGTATTCGTTAGTTGATCTCCACTTCCATACAAAATAAAGTCTCTCACAAGAATACGTTACTTAACTTTGAAATGAGTGGGTCGCGAAACTATCATCAGATCTTGGTCACACAAAGTGACGAAGGAGTGCTGGTTGAAGCTTTCCCAGACCTACTCAATAGGCATATAAGTAGTGCAGTCGATTTTAATAGCAACTAAAAGTCTGATTCACTGATAATAAATACGGCTAGTTAATCCTCTCTTTTTCACAGTCTCATAGTGGGACTGTCGGTATTAAAACCAACTATTTTACCTCTTAAGATAACACTTTTGGGAGACTTTAATTTCGTATGAAAGTGGATGATGAAGTATTCGTTGGTTGATCTCCACTTCCATACTAAATAAAGTCTCATCCGACAATATGTTACTTAAGTTTGGACTGAGTAGGTCGCGAAACTATCATCAGATCTTGGTCACACAAAGTGACGAAGGAGTTCTGGTTGAAGTTTTCCCAAACCTACTCAATAGGCATATAAGTAGTGCAGTCGATTTTAATAGCAACTAAAAGTCTGCTTCACTAATAATAAATACTGCTAGTTAATCCTCTCATTTTTCACAGTCTCATAGTGTGACTTTCGGCATTAAAACCGACTAGTTTACCTCTTAAGATGACAGTGTTCGAGAGATTTTCATTTCGTATGAAAGTGAATGATGAAGTATTCGTTGGTTGGTCTCCACTTTCATACAAAATAAAGTCTCCTCCGACAATATATTACTTAAGTTTGGACTGAGTAGGTCGCGAAATTATCATTAGATCTTGGTCACACAAAGTGATGAAGGAGTGCTGGTTGAAACTTTTCCAGACCTACTCAATAGGCATATAAGTAGTGCAGTCGATTTAAATAGCAACTAAATGTCTGCTTCACCAATAATCCCACCATAAAATGTGACATGTGGTGCCAGGCTTGTGTTAAAAGTCATCATGACAGTGTGTCGTAATGATAGCGTGTCGATTGATGTTAAGGTTGGTAAAGAGACGAGTTCAGTTGGGGTCAAAACTGCAGTTCAGTAGAGTTGGGAAAAGAATAATTTCCATTTCGAGGGCAAGGTTAGTTGGAAAAAATTCGTGAAATAGTCTGATTGTAAATCGAAGGAGGATTGCTGCAGAGTAAAGATTGTTGGACTGTACGAATAGGTCCGTGTCTCACGGCGACTGACATCCTCAGAACCTCAAGCTCTACTGTAGGGAATAGCATGAAAAAATATACGAAACCAAAGGAAAAGGTACAGATGGAAGTGGGTTTACTTCGTTGTCGCAACTTGGTCTTGTGTTCAGGGAGACTATGTAGAACGCACCTAGTTTGAAGTTGTCTGCCATAGTTGTTGTCTTGATTCCCAGCATCGGACAGTGGATTTGAGACATTCTCAAACGCTTCGCCGGCATTGTAGTCGGCATCATCCATGAGCTTTGCCATTCTCCGTTTGAGAAGGTACCAAGTCGACTGTCTGATGCTGGGAATCAAGAAAACTACTATGGCAGACGAATTCGGGCCAAGTTGCGACAACGAGGTCAACCCACTTTTATAAATCGAAAGGAGACTGCGACCATACCAGAGACCACAACATCTTGGTCTATATATCTTCAATTGAAGTACAGATGGAAGTTTATCACAGGTTCATCAGAGAAATTAACTGGTATAGTGAGACGCCTTTATGGGATTATGGAAAAATGCGACTGCCAGTCTGGCTGTTTGTCGTTGTAAGGCTGTCTGGCTGGGCAGAAGAGACAAGAGGTTGTCTCTGATGCGGCCGAACAACCCGACAATTGCGAGTGTTTTGAGGTACCAAATTGATCGACAGCCGATCAGAAATGCCGGTACCTGGACGCATCTCTGCATGTGGCATTCGGCGGCCAGCTCGAGACCCTGTCGACTGGCCCAGTGTTGGATCCGGTCGAGTCGACGCAGAAGCACTCGACCGCCGTTGCGTGTCAACCAGACGTCGGGATCCAAGCGGAGCGAGGCGGGCCAACGGGTCGACAAGACCTCATTGCCCGATTGCCCGAGCCTGGGCGCTTGGATCGCCTCCGGCCTGTTCGTCAGACCGTTGAAGATCCAAGCGCTGGTGGTGTGGAAGAGACGCGAGAAGAGTTGGAAGGCGAGTGCCGGGTTGAGACGGGCTCGGCGGAACTGTTGCATGAGATGGGACAGCGATTGCATCAGCCGCTGGACGGTGGTTTCGCGCATGGCGCGCTGTTCACGTGGCAACGAGGCCGGCGCGGCGGACAAGAGCGCAGCGTTGCCCGGATGGTCGTCAAGGCTTAGATCGTCCTGTAGCAAAACAAAGGGCCACAGGCGTTTAGAAGAGGCAGACTTTGACATTAAATGGTACTTAACTTTCGGTTTCCAAGCTATACTTGCCAATGTCGTCCATTCATATGACAAATAGGAGTGTGTTTAATCGAAAAAAACCCAACACAGAATGTAATATGACATTGCTTGAAATTCACATGTATCCCGTGAACCAATAGCACTCGTGAGAGTTTGGCGCAATGGTTGATGCATGCGAAGAAAAGTTGTGTTTCGAGGAATCTCTTGTTTCATAATTGTTGAGTTTACTTCCATTTCGAGTAAAAGTGTTGCGTGAAGAGATTAGAAGGTCGGTTCCACCAGAAGACGACGGCCGATTG